TTTCTGTTAGTTTAATTGATGCTGAATTATTTGTTAATCAGTTTGCAATTACGCCTATTTTTTTTAACAAAGAAATTATCAGTCCGTTAGTTCTCCTGATAGAAGCACTTGTTAAAGCTTTTGCCGTGTTCAGAATTTACTGACCTCCGAACATTACCATCTTATTTTGGATTTTGCAATTCTTAAACTATCACAAGATGCTTTAGCGACTAGAAAAAGAAAATTACATAAAAGGAGAGGTTTTTCAGTGCTTATAACAAATGCAAATTAAGAACCTGTCGTCCTCGTTTCTCATCTTCAATATATCAGCAATATAATCGAACGCGTACTGTCGACCATTTTTCAGCACTTCACCACCAACCACAATCTGTCCTGGATTTACAATTGCAACTCCACGATCTGTTGAAGATTCTTTCAAGAATCCGTACGTGCAGCACTGCAGTGCCAACCTGAATTACTTTTTATGCATTTTTACCTGTGTGCAAATGTAATCCAGGATAGAACCCACTGGACGGGCCAGTGCGATTACGCGTTTTTGCACCGGGCTTTAATTACATACGTCATTAACTGTGTGAATGGCTGTTGCTTTACACTTACCTTTTGCGGTCACCAGCATAAACCACCACAAATTTTGCAAAGTAAATGTATAACTTCCATTTAACAGTCGCTCTTTAAAAGTAACCTAGTTGTTCAGTAAGAAATTTTTTCGTCAAGACTATAAGTGCCCGTACGTAGGAACCACGCATACCTCAACGCCGAATTTGAAATACTTAAGTTGTACTTGGACAAGGAACATTCCCTCAAAATTTCAGCCTTCCAGCTTTTCTGGTTACCGACTTAGCAATTTTCCCGCCAAAACCCTCACACATTCGTAATTGGGCACTCCACGTGCTTGGGATACTGAATTTGAAATTTTTAAATTGCACTGTGGACAGGGAACATCGGTCTAAAATTTCAGCCTTCCAGCTCTTTTGGTTGCCAAGTTAGTACTTTTCCTGCAGAAACTTTCATATGCCCTTGCGTGAGTAACATGAATAGCTTGAGGCTGAATTTGGAATATTTGAGTTGTAGTTGGTTAGGGAACATTCCTCCAAAATTTTAGCTTTCTAGCTTTCCTGGTACCCGAGTTAGCAATTTTCCCCCTACAAATTTCATGCACCCTTACGTGAATACCACGTACAACTGGGGGGCTGAATTTGAAATCTTTAGCTAGTACATTTACAGGGAATATCCCTACAAAGTTTTGGCTCCTTAGCTCATGTAGTTCCCGAGATTGCTTTCCCACCAAAAAATTTGCATATTTCTTTAAAGCATCCATACACGGCACCCAGGCGTCCGAGGGGGAAGAAATTAAAATGGGAGGGTCGCGCATGGTATACGTACATATCCTCAAAGTTTCAGCCTTCTAGCCTTTCTGGTTCTCGAGTTGAAAGTGGGTGACAAAAAGTGCGAACACACAGACACACATACACACACACAGCCTCTTCCCAATACGCGTTTTTGCAATTTACATATATGCAAAAACGCATAAAAGTGCAAATTGCGACGACCTACGGTGTGTGCAAGTGTGTGTCTGTTTGTTTGTCTTTCTATCTGTTCGTACATTTCAACTCCGCAGTCAAGTGAACTCCAACACTGAAATTTCGGCAGTGGGTTCCCTGGCCAAACGTTAACCAGAAGCGCGGTACCGAGCTTAACAAATGTCTGAGTTCTAGATACGAGCACGTGAAGTTCTGGCAGGGGAACTGCTAACTTGAGAACCAGAAAAGCTGGAAAGCTGGAATATTATGGTGATGTTTCCTGTTCAAGCACAACTTAAAGGTTTCAAATTCAATCCCAACTATGTGCGCCTCTCATGTACGAACACATAAAAGTTTTGGCGGGAGAAGTGCTCATGAAACAGCAAGGCTGGCCTGAATAAGGAATTCCAAAATTAAGGAATTCCAGCGCTGCTTGAATGATGAATATGAAAGTAAAGAGGATAAATAACACAAGATTTTCTGGGATTCTTTTTTGTATGAAGTGGTTTTTGCATGGTTTTGAATATTTTAATTAATAGCGCCTATAATCACCCTTGATTGACAAGCGCAACGTTTCACCAACGCTACTGTCCAACAAATTTCTGGATAATTTTCAAGTTAATCAGCAATGACTACCAGAAACAAAGAAGAAAAAACAAGCTAACAATAAAAACAAAAAGAGCTAACGGCAATATGGTGGCATTATACATTGGGCCGATACCACCAACCCATTGGTCAGTTCGCAAGCAGGATTCGCTCTCATACGTGCTATCACACTCCTGCAACTCATCCGCGTAATTCTTAAGAAGCTTTTCTTTAACACCAAAACTGCAAATGAAAGTAGTTTGATTCCGTATGCTTCAGCTTCACTCAGTATTTACCTTTTCAGTCAAATTTATTCGATGGAAAGCAAAACGCCTACTGCTGATTCATTGAGCTTGGAATGACCAGGATAGCAAATGGGATTAAAAATGTTATCCGAGCTCTTACAGCAACTTGTTCTTTGTATAGCTGTCGGTCCTGGCGATTCATTTTGCGTGGCTTTTCTGTGATTTTTCGTTGAAAGCCATCCGCTACTTTCAAAACTCGGTAAAATTGTGAATTTCGTGAGATCGGCTCACCATCCGCCGTCCATCCAAAGCACGTCGGTCGAGCGCACCCCAGTATCGGTTGTCCATTTGGTTGCGCCTAAATTAGACACACAACTCTTGACCACTTAATTAATCTTAGGATTCTGTTCTTCAAAAAATTAAGCAGCAAAATGCGTGGATAAGAAAAATGTATTAGCAAAAAACGCTCCCTCTCAAAAAAAGCAGTTTGAATTTTATTCTTTAAAAATAAGGAATAAAATCACCTCCTTTTCAATTATTTTTATTGTGAACTAAACAGCAGTGCCCAACAAGAAGTCATCTTCTTTGCGCTTTAGCAGTCACTCATTTTTGTGCGCGTAAAACGAGCTGCATTTTATCCAATTAGCTTCAGGACTTCCAAATTTGAACAGTTGTGCTCTTGCTGGCATTACGTCATAACTGTTTGTGCAAGCCCATTAGGAAATTACGTTGCGTGCCTAAGGAAAGAATTTTAAAATTTCCGGTGCACTGCCTGTCTCGAAATTCCCGCGAGAAACCGAGGGCAAACAAGGTTGCCTTGTTGCACAAATAATGTGTGTAACGCGCACAAAGTATAAGTTTTGGAGCACGATGAACAATATCGCAATGGTTGTGTCGTTACTTGAAATAGCGAAGAAGACAATTTTGGTTTTCTCACAACTCAACCACATCCTTTTAGAGGGCATCGACTTAACGCAGCTGACATGTGTGCAGCTAGTAAATTCTGCGGTTTAGAAAATTTGTTGTTTGGATTTTTAAAAAGTAAGCATACTTATAATTTTAGACCCGACGTGGAACAAGATTTTGACAAAGCGCGACTGATAAATGACCTCAAAGCTGAACGGAATGGACGACTGGCCACAAAATGACGCATATGCTACGTTGGAATGTAGAACAACCAGTAGTAGCAAAGACGACACAAGTTTCATGCAAATTTTCTCGTCCTCCTCTTTCGTCTGTCTGAAAATTGCAGAAGCATTTGAGGTTTTTACGTACTCGTAAGAATTAAACGCCATAATCAACGCAGTGCAATGAAAATTCGAGGGAAAAAAGAAAGCTAAAACGGGTAAGTTGGAACGTCTGAATGGTAACATGCGCCAGTTGCAACCAGCTGCTAGCGAGGTTGCCAATGATCACTTTTTCGAAAGATGTTTAGAAGTCAATTTTATTACATGCGCGAGTGCTTGCTTTTCTGTCAAAACGGATAAACAAGTTGTGGGGAAACTTATAGTCTCATTGGGGTAATAGAACCTTTTTCTCAGTATACTACTGGGTTGATCTGTGTGGGTCAAGCAAGAGTCCAGTCAGGTACAAAAATCGGGTCCACTTTTATTTGGGATTCGGTTTGGTTCTGAACAAACGTCTGGGAACTGTCGCCCGGACAGGAGAGATCTGAGTTTTTACGGAGCTTATGGTTTATATAAGACCGGTTAAAAATTCTCGTTGTGCTTCGAGTGCGAAATCCAAGAAGTACATTTACCTTCAGCATGAGAGCAACTTTACTGACCATCGCGCCATGTTTAACTTTTTAGGCCCGGTATGCCTTCCCTTCCATTTCATATAAAATTATGCAGTAAAATTATGCAGTTCAGTAGCGGGATATTATGTGAAACTCATTCCCTTTCTAGGACCTAAAAAGCAGAAAAGTCGTTCTGGTAATTCCGAAAGACTTATATTCTACAAAACAGAAAGTGAACACTGGTAAAATTACGCCTGTCGGGAAATGCATTTTTCAAAATATGAGCGAGAGGAAACGCAATATCCTGACAGTGGTGAGTTGCATGGGGCGTTATCGAGGGTAAATGGGCCAAGCGTATGATTGTCTCGTCTTCCATCACAGCTGATCATTGCGGCTACAAAGAAACATATTTTCAACACCCTTGTCGGACGGGCAGTGCGTTAATTGGGTTATTACTACACCACTAACACATGGTTTTGGTGTACATCCTCAGTGACTGTTAACTATACGAAAAAAAAATTTTCCATAGCTCACTCTCTACGAACAATAGAAGCTTATTAAAAAGCTCATGGCCCGTATGTGAGAACCACTCATGCCAGGGACTGAATCTGAAATCTTTAAGTTGTACTTGAAAAAGATCAGTCCCTTAAAATTTCAGCTTTTCAGTGTTTTCGATTCCCAAGTTAGCGATTTTCCCGCCAAAACTCTCACGTGCCTGTACTTGAAAATCGCGCATGCCTATGGGCTGATTTTGAAAACTTTAACTCACGCACACGCGGAGAATATTTCAACAAAATTTTAACTATCTGTCTTATTTGATTCCCGAGATCCTCTTCCGCCAAAAAATTGGCGTTTCTTTGAGGTGTTAGTACGTTGCACCCAGGCGTAGCGAATGATGGTATTAAAACGGAAGGGTCGCGCAGAGGATGGACACATATTCCCGAAGTTTCGGTCCTTTAGTTTTTGTAGTTTTCGAGTTAAAAGCGACTGACAGAAAGTGCTAACAGGAAATACACGCACAGACACTTCTTGTCATCGTGTGATTTACTTACTGTAGAAGCAGCAAAAACACATAAAAAAGTATCATCCGGCATGCCTTGCTTAAATGAACTAATGGAAAAATAACTGTTCAGTTTCTTCGCAGCTCCTTCACTCTCACAGTTCACGTTGCGTCTAACCACGTGAGGGTTTTTATGCGTTTTTTGCCTATATGCAAATTGCAAAAACTCATATTGGGTCGACCCTGTCTGTGAGTGTGTGTCTGTATGTGTGTGTGTGTATGTTTGCGCGTGTGTGTGTGTTCGTCTGTCCGGGTATTTCAACTCGGCAACCAAGCAAGTTTCAGCGACGAGATT